ACGTTAAACATTGGTATAAAAGGATGTGACAAAATGGCAACAAATGACGCTACACATTTATCTCAAATGACATTAAACATTGGTATAAAAGGATGTGACAAAATGGCAACAAATGACGTTACACATTGATCTCAAATGACGTTAAACATTGGTATAAAAGGATGTAGCACAATGGCACCAAATGACGCTACAAAATGATCTCAAATGACATTAAACATTGGTATAAAAGGATGTGACACAATGGCACCAAATGACGCTACAAATTGATCTCAAATGACGTTAAACATTAGTATAAAAGGATGTGACACAATGGCACCAAATGACGCTACAAATTGATCGCAAATGAAGTTAAACATTGGTATAAAAGGATGTGACACAATGGCACCAAATAACGCTACAAATTGATCTCAAATGACGTTAAACGTTGGTATAAAAGGATGTGACAAAATGGAAACAAATGACGCTACACATTGATCTCAAATGACGTTAAACATTGGTATAAAATGATGTGACAAAATGGCAACAAATGACGCTACACATTTATCTCAAATAACATTAAACATTGGTATAAAAGGATGTGACAAAATGGCAACAAATGACGTTACACATTGATCTCAAATGACGTTAAACATTGGTATAAAAGGAATTGACACAATGGCACCAAATGTCGCTACAAATTGATCTCAAATGACGTTAAACATTGGTATAAAAGGATGTGACACAATGGCACCAAATGACGCTACACATTGATCTCAAATGACGTTAAACATTGGTATAAAAGGATGTGACAAAATGGCAACAAATGACGCTACACATTTATCTCAAATGACATTAAACATTGGTATAAAAGGATGTGACAAAATGGCAACAAATGACGTTACACATTGATCTCAAATGACGTTAAACATTGGTATAAAAGGATGTAGCACAATGGCACCAAATGACGCTACAAAATGATCTCAAATGACATTAAACATTGGTATAAAAGGATGTGACACAATGGCACCAAATGACGCTACAAATTGATCTCAAATGACGTTAAACATTAGTATAAAAGGATGTGACACAATGGCACCAAATGACGCTACAAATTGATCGCAAATGAAGTTAAACATTGGTATAAAAGGATGTGACACAATGGCACCAAATAACGCTACAAATTGATCTCAAATGACGTTAAACGTTGGTATAAAAGGATGTGACAAAATGGAAACAAATGACGCTACACATTGATCTCAAATGACGTTAAACATTGGTATAAAATGATGTGACAAAATGGCAACAAATGACGCTACACATTTATCTCAAATAACATTAAACATTGGTATAAAAGGATGTGACACAATGGCACCAAATGACGCTACACATTGATCTCAAATGACGTTAAACATTGGTTTAAAAGGATGTGACACAATGGCACCAAATGACGCTACACATTGATCTCAAATGACGTTAAACATTGGTATAAAACGATGTGACACATTGGCACCAAATGACGCTACACATTGATCTCAAATGACGTTAAACATTGGTATAAAAGGATGTGACATAATGGCAACAAATGACGCTACACATTGATCTCAAATGACGTTAAACATTGGTATAAAAAGATGTGACACAATGGCACCAAATGACGCTACACATTGATCTCAAATGACGTTAAACATTGGTATAAAAGGATGTGACACAATGGCACCAAATGACGCTACACATTGATCGCAAATGACGGTACCCAACGACATTAAGTAATTAAATCAGGAAAGAGTAGATTTTATCCAAGACGTGAACAATTGTAAACCATGTTATATTACACAACACAAGAACAACAACACCAGAACAACAACACCAGAACAACAACACAAGAACAACAACACAAGAACAACAACACAAGAACAACAACACAAGAACAACAACACAAGAACAACAACACAAGAACAACAACACAAAAACAACAACACAAGAACAAAAACACAAGAACAAGATTTTTGGGGGTAGTCTGGTGTTGTTGTTGTTTTAATGACATCCTTGACATGTCATCCCTCTACTAAATGACATTTTCGCTGTACATGAAACATGAATTAACTTTTTACGCACACGGAAAATTTGTTGGGCCCAAACAAATTCAACATTTTGGGCTTTGAATAAAACCAACATTTTTGCGTAGTAATTGTTTGATTTTGTTTGTACATTTGAGGCAGTGTTTAATCTTCATAAAACATTGTGTTATTACCCTTCTTGCCCTTTGTTTTTCGAATCAAGTTTCTGAGACAAAAGAGACTCAATCATGAACTATAGTTGATTTCATAAAATGTTTGATAAATTTGTTTTATAAAAATGACCTCTCTGTTGTTGTAACAGTTGAGACATGCAATTATAAAACTTACACAAGTTTCACACAACTTAAATTCTGAAATGTTGTTCAACAAATGTGTTGTAGAAAGAGTCTTCGTCCCAAAAAAAGCTGGATGAGTTTGTTTTAAATGCAAGATTCCTTTCACAAAATTTGTTTCAGAAACATGAATATCTTTTGTAAATGAGAGTCCTAGAACTTTTGATAGCAACTTCAGACAACATGATGGAGTAATTCCACACGAATCTGAATATAGCTGAAATCTCTTGAATTGTATGGCTAGCTGTAAGTCCAGCTGTTGAGGCCAGCTGTTGAGTCGAGTCCAGCAGTTAAGTCCAGCTGTTGAGTACAGCTGTGGAGTACAGCTGTTGAGTACAGCTGTTGAGTCCCACTGTTGAGTCCAGCTGTACAATCATAATAGGGTTTATAGAAAAGGTAAATAAAAAAAAGTAATTTCTTCATCTTGTTCATAAGACGTATGGGAATCGCACAGAGTGTTCTCAACCATTTCAACGTGGACATATTTTTCCCTCTCTTGATTAAAAAGTCCAGACTGACGTTTGCTGATTCAACTCAACATGTGGCCTCTTTCAGAGATTGTTGCCAAGCATCCCGAAAAGATCATACATCAATTTTACTCATTTGGCCACTTTAATGTCAATAGTATTTTTCTGGTCTCAAGGAGCCTGGACAATCAGAGTTAGTACTTTGACAGTAACCCTTGCCGTGATGACACATATCAGAGTTAGTTCAGTAAAGCCTTGCCATAAGGACACATATCAGAGTTTGTTCAGTGAACCCTTTCCATGATGACAAATATCAGAGTTTGTTCAGTGAACCCTTTCCATGATGACACATATCAGAGTTTGTTCAGTGAACCCTTTCCATGATGACACATATCAGAGTTTGTTCAGTGAACCCTTTCCATGATGACACATATCAGAGTTTGTTCAGTGAACCCTTTCCATGATGACAAATATCAGAGTTTGTTCAGTGAACCCTTTCCATGATGACACATATCAGAGTTTGTTCAGTGAACCCTTTCCATGATGACAAATATCAGAGTTTGTTCAGTGAACGCTTTCCATGATGACACATATCAGAGTTTGTTCAGTGAACCCTTTCCATGATGACACATATCAGAGTTTGTTCAGTGAACCCTTTCCCTTATGACAAATATCAGAGTTTGTTCAGTGAACCCTTTCCCTTATGACAAATATCAGAGTTTGTTCAGTAAAGCCTTGCCATAAGGACACATATCAGAGTTTGTTCAGTGAACCCTTTCCCTTATGACAAATATCAGAGTTTGTTCAGTGAACCCTTGCCATGTTGACACGTATTAGAGGTTTCTTCAGTGAACCCTTGCCATGATGACACATATCAGAGTTTGTTCAGTGACCCCTTGCCATGAGGACAATTAGAGTTTTTCCAGTGAACCCTTGCCATGATGACACATACCAGAGTTTGTTCAGTGAACCCTTGACATGGGGTCACATATCAGGAGTTTGTTTTTTAGTGAACCCTTGCCATAAGGACACATATCAGTTGATTGTTTGGTGAGTCCTTCCCATGATGACACATATCAGAGGACTGTTCAATGAACCCTTGCCATGATTAAACATTTTAGGAGTTTGTTCAGTGTGACTGACTCGCATAAGTTCTAGGATCAACCCTGATTTAGAAAAAGTTCGTTGATTCTCACTCACAAACTCACAAACACACTAACACACATCTTGTTTCACGAAAGTCCCTATCACAGAGTCCAATAAATTCATTTTGCTCGATTAGAAGGTCAATAGGCTTCAAATACATCTCCCTTTTTGTGACTGTTGAATCACGTGCTCCTTGAAAATTTAATCATAATGAGAAATCAGCTCAAGTGATTCAAGCAAATTTCCCTTGTGTGGGTCTTCAAGCTGGTCATATTTTTTTACGAATGAGCACACAAATTTCATCAAGAAACAACTCGACATCCTAATTTCGTAAGAGACTTCTTCTCCATCTTTCAGCTTCACTTTAAAAAATAGGCTCATCAGATTGGTTTTTCTTCACTCCGAGATCTCATCCACACTACAGGATTTAGCACTGTTAGGGATACTCTCACACATTGTTCATGTCTTACAACTTAAGTCTTGAGATTTCTCTACGACTCCCATTCAGTGCTCCATACCGACCTTTTTCCAAGTGATGAAATTCTGCCCCTTCACTGATCAAAAAAAAATAATCTACATGGCAAACAAAGAAGATCATGCTTCGCTTGGCTTACAGAGAGAGGTCTTTGCTATTTTTCCAAGGCATCTAAGAGACGTAGCATACTTACGAGATTGTACTCTTAATTTATGTTTGTAAATTAATGGTTGTAAACAGTTTGGGGAGCCACTGCCGTATAACTTCTCAGTGGTGAAGACCGAAGTGACTCCTAAACCTTGAATTATATTTCCAGTAAATGAAAAGTGTCACGCTGGCATTCACCGACTGAATTAGTTCCCGTATAATATTGAATGTTAAATACAAAGCACTTACAGAGAGAGGTCTTTGCTATTTTTCCAAGGCATCTAAGAGACGTACATACTTACGAGATTGTACTCTTAATTTATGTTTGTAAATTAATGGTTGTAAACAGTTTGGGGAGCCACTGCCGTATAGATTCTCAGTGGTGAAGACCGAAGTGACTCCTAAACTTTGAATTATATTTCCAGTAAATGAAAAATGTCACGCTGGCATTCACCGACTGAATTAGTTCCCGTATAATATTGAATGTTAAATACAAAGCACTGTAGCGTCCGCCTCTGTAGAAGTCAGGCACAATAAGTTGTGTCAAATTGAAGACAACTTTTGGCATGTTGCACAAACTGTAAACTGTTGCTATGAGCAGCATTTGTCGGGCAACTTGTAGTTCTTTGCCAACCAGTTTGGCTGGGGTACATTCTTTATTTATGATTTTTCCTTTGGGATCGCTGGAAAGATGTTGACGAAAATGAGCAGCCTTCTGAAGGCAGCTCGCCATGATCACGACGCATGCGCCGACTATTGTTTGAGAAGCAAGCGGCAAGAACATGTCCCTGATTCCAAAAATGACGTCTTTGGTTAAAGCTCGCTTCGGCGAGATCCATAGAACCAGTCTTGTGGCGTTGGTATTAGAATCGAACTGAGGTGAGACGCCCATGTACACCAACAGCAAAATGGCGAACAAGATGGACACGATGGAAAACGATGCGATTACGACTGCCGAAGATTTTAGTGAGATCAAATTTCTGTATTTTAAAGGATCGACCACGGCCAGACATCGAACCACGGTGATGAACGTCGTCACCAGCATTGAGATGGCGTAGAAGCCACTTCCGACGTTGGTAGAGATCATGTAGACGGTTTCCGGTTCAACGGGGAACCAAACTTTAAAATCGGAGAGCTCCTCTACACCGTGTAGCACCATGCTGACGGAGATGACAAACGCTGGGACGAGATAGAAAAGATCGCACAACGCCAATGATATCAGGGACAGGTTCATTCCGTCTGAGATCCCGAGGCGAAAAAATATTTTAACGATTATGAAGTTGCCCATAGCACCGAGACCGGTGATCGGTGCTAAGAATATACTGACGAAAATCAGAGTCCAGGGCTTGAACTCATCGCCTGCTAACAGATGTAACGTGTCCATTTTACTAAGCTTGTCTGTTTCTTAAAGCGTACAGGGCCTCTTTCTTACTTGGTGTTAAATGAAACTGTCTGCATACCATGGACAGATGTAGCAAAGTCAATCACGGTGGTCGTCAGAAGCAGCAGTATTTTATTTGAATGGGGTTTCAAAAATATTTTTATGCATCCATTTTAAATCACCCTAGAATAATAACATGATAAACCAAGTCTCGTTATAGGAAAATACTTTCAAAATAGTAAAACTATTTTACAAACAACTTTTCGTCATTTCGCCTCCGAAATCTTGTAATTATAATTGAAATTGAAATAATAATAAAATTGACTGTTTTTTGCTTCTTTGGCGAATTATTTCAAGCTTCTTGTTCGTTGAACTAACACAGGTCTACGGTAATTTAAGCACTTCTCTGTAAACTTATGATTAGTTAAAGTCTTTGTTCAAATCCCTCTATTAAATTATTTCGAATTACTTGATATTAAGTCTAACTCAAGTAAACACAGCACAATTGGGGTTTTGCTTAAGTCCATTTTGATCCCACTAAGAAGTTTACGCCCGGAAATTATCCTAAGACGTAGTTGTTTTTAAACGCACAATGTGTCATTGTCTTTCGAGGCGCAATTTGTCAATGTCTTTAAAGGCAAAATGTGCCATTGTCTTTAGAGGCACAATGTGTCATTGTCTTTAGAGGTGCCATGTGTCATTGTCTTTAGAGGCACAATATGCCATTATGTTTAGAGGAACAATGTGCCATTGTCTTTAGAGGTGCAATGTGTCATTGCCTTTAGAGGCGCAATATGTTATTGTCTTTAGAAGCGCAATGTGTCATTGTCTTTAGAGGTGCACGTGTCATTGTCTTTAGAGGCGGAACGAGTTATTGTCTTTAGAGGCGCAATGTGTCATTGTCTTTAGAGGCGCAATGTGTCATTTCTTTAGAGGTGCAACGTGTCATTGTCTTTAGAGGCGGAACGAGTTATTGTCTTTAGAGGCGCAATGTGTCATTGTCTTTAGAGGCGCAATGTGTCATTGTCTTTAGAGGTGCAATGTGTCATTGTCTTTAGAGGCGCAATGTGTCATTGTCTTTAGAGGCACAATGTGTCATTGTCTTTAGAGGCGCAATGTGTCATTGTCTTTAGAGGTGAAATGCGTTATTGTCTTTAGAGGTGCAATGTGTTATTGTCTTTAGATACACAATGTGTCATTGTCTTTAGAGGCGCAATGTGTCATTGTCTTTAGAGGCGCAATGTGTCATTGTCTTTGGAGGCGCAATGTGTCATTGTCTTTAGAGGCGCAATGTGTCATTGTCTTTAGAGGCGCAATGTGTCATTGTCTTTAGAGGCGCAATGTGTCATTGTCTTTAGAGGCGCAATGTGTCATTGTCTTTAGAGGCGCAATGTATCATTGTCTTTAGAGGCGCAATGTGTCATTGTCTTTAGAGGCACAATGTGTTATTGTCTTTAGAGTCATAATGTGTCATTGTCTTTAGAGGCGCAATCTGTCATTGTCTTTAGAGGTGCAATGTGTCATTTCTTTAGAGGTGCAACGTGTCATTGTCTTTAGAGGCGGAACGAGTTATTGTCTTTAGAGGTGCAATGTGTTATTGTCTTTAGAGGCGAAATGTGTTATTGTCTTTAGAGGCGCAATGTGTTATTGTCTTTAGAGGCGCAATGTGTTATTGTTTTTAGAGTCATAATGTGTCATTGTCTTTAGAGGCGCAATGTGTCATTGTCTTTAGATGCGCAATGTGTCATTGTCTTTAGAGGTGAAATGCGTTATTGTCTTTAGAGGTGCAATGTGTTATTGTCTTTAGAGGCGCAATGTGTTATTGTCTTTAGAGGTGCAATGTGTTATTGTCCTTAGAGGTGAAATGCGTTATTGTCTTTAGAAGCGCAATGTGTCATTCTCTTTAGAGGTGAAATGCGTTATTGTCTTTAGAGCACAATGTGTTATTGTCTTTAGAGGCGCAATGTATTATTGTCTTTAGATACACAATGTGTCATTGTCTTTAGAGGCGCAATGTGTTATTGTCTTTAGATACACAATGTGTCATTGTCTTTAGAGGTGCAATGTGTTATTGTCTTTAGATGCACAATGTATCATTGTCTTAAGAGGTGCAATGTGTTATTGTCTTTAGATGCACAATGTGTCATTGTCTTTAGAGGTGCAATGTGTTATTGTCTTTAGATGCACAATGTATCATTGTCTTTAGAGGTGCAATGTTTTATTGTCTTTAGAGGCGCAATGTATTATTGTCTTTAGAGGCATAATGTGTCATTGTCTTTAGAGGCCCAATGTGTCATTGTCTTTAGAGGCACAATGTGTTATTGTCTTTACAGTCATAATGTATCATTGTCTTTAGAAGCGCAATGTGTCATTATCTTTAGAGGTGCAATGTGACATTTCTTTAGTGGTGCAACGTGTCATTGTCTTTAGAGGCGGAACGAGTTATTGTCTTTAGAGGTGCAATGTGTTATTGTCTTTAGAGGCGCAATGTGTTATTGTCTTTAGAGGCGCAATGTGTTATTGTCTTTACAGGCGCAATGTGTTATTGTTTTTAGAGTCATAATGTGTCATTGTCTTTAGAGGCGCAATGTGTCATTGTCTTTAGAGGCGCAATGTGTCATTGTCTTTAGAGCTGAAATGCGTTATTGTCTTTAGAGGTGCAATGTGTTATTGTCTTTAGAGGCGCAAAGTGTTATTGTCTTTAGAGGTGCAATATGTCATTCTCTTTAGAGGCGCAATGTGTTATTGTCTTTAGATACACAATGTGTCATTGTCTTTAGAGGCGCAATGTGTTATTGTCTTTAGATACACAATGTGTCATTGTCTTTAGAGGTGCAATGTGTTATTGTCTTTAGATGCACAATGTATCATTGTCTTAAGAGGTGCAATGTGTTATTGTCTTTAGATGCACAATGTGTCATTGTCTTTAGAGGTGCAATGTGTTATTGTCTTTAGAT